AACAAGGAATGCAGACATAATGCCGTGACTCACCAGACATAACCGTATAGTGCATAGCATTTCTCTTGACACGTGCACCACAAGGTGTACAGTAAATAGGTGTTGGCTCAAATGCAAGCCTCTCAACAGCACATAACTGGCAAGAGTTCTCAGACATGGAGAGTCCCATTGCTTTATTTTTTTCTGCCTTGGTTTTACTCTGAAATAAAATACGAAGAAAGAATAACTAGCATTATCCACTATTACCAGCCATATGCAACTCTAAGTCTTTTATAAACGAAAAGCTATGCACAAAAAGGTAGAAATATTCAGACAACACCAAAGAGACCTAAAAAAGTAAATGTAAATTGAAAATCTTTCTTAGTCAAACTCAATCTTTCATATCAAACAAGATTTGCATCTAAATTTTCTTTAGCTTACCTGGCCTACCCACTGACGAAGACCACGGATATGCTCCTCTACTTGCTCTGGAGTGAACAGCTCAATCAGTGAGACTCCTTTGATCTTTGACTTTCCGTTATTAGATGCAGATACAACGCCCACAGACTGCTCCGCTTTCTCTTCTTTGGGTGCGCTTATTTCGTTTGAACACTTTGGTTTTTCTTGCTCTGATAAACCAACATTTTTACCATCTACTGCAGATTCTCCACCACCATGTCTTCCCATAGGAGTATCTTTACCAACAGGCTTCTCCAACTCATGAGAAACAGGAACACGCCTCCTTGTAGAATCGGAACTATCTGCATTCATAGGCACATATGTTTTGACCGTTTTGCAGACATCACTTTGTAGCCTTTCTTTCTCTTGCAGACCCATTGAAAAATAAGCTTCAGTTCCACCAGGTGAAATTGTCGTTGGGATGCTCTGTGTGCCAGGATTTGCAAATTGAGAGTGTTTCTCTACTTTCAGGCGCTTCGGAGAAGGTTGCAGATCATCAACAACAAACGGATCTTTAAAGCCACTTTCATTAGAAGTTCGCATAGGCTCAAAGGATTCTATGGGTCCATGGTTTAAACTAGCTGAGCCTAGCTCAGCTCTTTGGAAGGAGGTACGTTTTTCTTTTTGTTTCTCCTTGAAGCTTTTGACAAAAACACAGACTGGGCATGCTTCATTCCCACAGTGCTTGTAATGATGAATCAATTTCCGGGTTTGAAGACAATAGTGATATGCGCAAGCAGGGGCCTTGCAGGAATTGATATGTTTCAATAGAGTTTTCGTAGAAAAACAATACTTGCTTTCACAGTTATCTTCCACAGCATTGCATTTACGTACATGTAGCAGGAACAAAAGCCACCGCCTCTGATTATTGTAACTTAGACCACAATCTCCATTCAGCTGTTTACTCAAGGCGTTGCTTCCTTCTGAGAGATGTGGAGCCTCCAAGGTGCCTTCAGGAGCAACAATTTGGCAATTTGTAGACTCTCTAACAGACAAACTATTATTAGTTCCTTCATGATGCATAGAAAATCTTACCCCAAAACGTTCTCTCTCTTCATTAGAATTTTTTGATACTTGTGTTAAGTTCTGCGAAGATGAATGCCACTGACCCAGACCTGATACTGGCTGCACTCCAGCTGAGAAGTTACTCAAATCTTTCCTTTGGGATATATGCTGCGTCTGTTGACTTCGTGGTGGAAATGATGGAGAAATCTTTAGCTGGCTACTACAAACTGGTGTACTCTGGGCACCACCATACTCGTCTTTGACAGCATTCTGCTTGTACTGGTTTTGCGACTTGGATTGTTCTACTTTGTTTATAGCCTGCATCTGAAAAGCTTCACTGTAGTATTCCACGCGTGGTTCATGCTTAACTTTACTAACTAAATTTGAATCTAGCTGAGATTGACGATACGTGTCATTGTTCAGTAAGTGCTCTTGTTGATGGTATTGACCATGATGAACTTGTTGGTTGAAACGATGTTCTAATGGTCGATGACTCACCTGAGCCAAAGTTTCTTTGGAATTGGAAGAAGATTGGAAATTCCCATTCTCGAACTGAGGACGTAGTTGAGATTTTAGCAACGGATTGTTATCCACTGCTTGCAGGCTTGACTGATTACTACCAAAAGAAGCATCAACTCTCCGCATAGGATTCAGGCTCATTGAATTCATATCCACAGCAGTTCCCATTGAGCCAGATGATGTTAGAGCTCCATAGAGATCCCCAGACCCAAAAGTATTAGAGTTGCTCATTGAGTATCCTTCACATGATGAAAGCAACTTCCAATTAGCATACCACCATGATTTACATACTCGCCAGAAAGGTAAGGCTAAGGGAGCCAATCAAGAGAGAATTGAAATTTAAATAGCATAAGATAAAAGGAAAATTAGAGAGATTTACTGTTCGCATGTGACACCTGCAACTGATCGACAGGCTGCTGAAAGGGTTGGGATAAAGTTGAAAACTGTGCAGAACTGAGGACTTCAGAAGTCCTGGGCCCAGTAGCAAGGTGTACATTGTTCCCACTTATCCCTACACCAGCATTTAGAGGAATATTGGTCATCCCAGATGTATTCTGATGAAGATTTGACCTGAAAGCACCTCCCAATTGGTGATCAAGGTTGTAACGCATATGGTCATTTGAAGCAGTAGGACGTAGCCTCTGAAGCTGGGATGGATTTCCAAAGTCAGACCCAGCAGTAAGAAGCTGAGATGGATCTCTAGCGTATTCGTCATTTCGATGAGAGTGATATACATCAGTACTAGCACTATTGTCAAATCCAGGAGTAGGAATCATCTGGCCAACTGCAGATAATTGCTGGCGACCATTATTTACTGAACCTGTCGAAAAAAAGTGTATGAAGATTGAATCAGGACAGGCTCTTTGTTGGGTCAAACCTTACAGGCATACGGAGAACTTATCATCATCTCTGACTGATATTACCTCGGTTCATGCGATTAGTTGGCAATAGCCTTCCAGTTTCAAATGTTGCATCCGGTATGTTATTACTGCTATTGACTGTGCTTATATCCACCATAGGGGTAGCTGTATAACTTTGACCCCATCCATGCGAAACCCCAGGTGTCTGAACCATTGTACTGACCGAGCTTGAAGGATTAGCATGGCGCTGACTAAATAGTTGTTTCAGAGTGGACTCTATGCGAGCCTCAAAACTTCTGAAATCTAAGTAATCCTCCTGCAAAAAGAAATTATCATCAAGAACAATGACCAGCTGTGCAACACTAAAACATCTAAGTGATTCTGTTTGTAAGTATAATTTGCGACTAGCTAGAAAACATTTAACAAACTGTGGAAATGAGAAGATCAAAAGTGGGGGAACCTTTGACTTAGCCATTTTCAACATTGCATTCTCTAACCGTCTGGCAACCTCAAACAACTTTGCCTTGGAGGCCTCATCAGTCTTTGAAGGCTGCCTCTGCTGTAACCAAGCGTAGCTGGGGAGAATGAGAAATAATGGGTAACAATCAAATAAATAAGAGCGTTCTCCATGCACATAAATTTTACAAAAACATAAGATCAACTCAACAATCAAATAAATAAAGAGTATAGTGAATGCACGAGTTCCCTTAAGGTTTAAGACCATAGGACTAGTTACAAAACCAAACCCCAATCCAAAAGTTGATAAAGGAGAGAAGTAAATTAACTTCATAAACGACTAGTAATATCATATGTGCACTAGAGAACAACAAGATATACAATGGAATAGACAGCAAACACAATACACGAAAGCAGACAGCAAAAGGAAGTAAAAATGCAAGAGAGAAACATTCTTACATTCTATTGAGCATATCCTGCCGTACTCCGAGAGTATCACGAGATGAGGCATTATGCTGAGAAGAAACACTGGAAGCAGGATTCTGAATCTGTCCAGGCTGAAGAACATTCCTATTCTGCCCCTGAGCCATTCTCAATATGACTCAAAAACACTTGCAACAGAAGAATGTGGAGCTAAAAGCCCCGCCAACAAAGACACACGATCATCACCACTACGATAAGCTAACACAGTCTACAATTATTATTAAACAAAAACAAAATTGAGTTAGAGGATACAGTAACCAAAAATACAGAAGGAAACGCACACCCTAGCTCGTGAATTACACCAAGTTACATACAGATAGAAAAATTCATCCCATTGACATCCAACTAAATCGAATTTTGGGGAAATTATGTAATTTCAACACCAACCCTAGCTCAAGATCTAAACCAGTTGAATTAATGAATGGAACAATACCATAAAAGAAAAAAAAAACCCTAAACCTGCAATATTTGGGGGGAAATCAGCAATTCCAATAGAGAAAAAGGCAATTCGCAATAAGACGACGGAGGAAGAGGATGGGGAAAAAAAAACTGGATACCGAATGAGGAAACAAACGGCGAAAGACAAAAGAAGAACGACGACGGAGGAAGGGGAAAGGTCGGTGGGCTTTGGATTATGACCGGCTTACACAAAATATCCCTTTTTTGGTGCATAAACGCCGATTTTTCCTTTTCCTTTTTACCACCAACTAACTTATTGTAGTGTAGGTATAATCATGACTTATGGAAAACAAAACAAAAAAATCAACAGGTTAATAAGGTATATTATTAAATCCAACGGACAGAACACATCAACACCCGGATCTTCTTACTTTTTTTTTACCCAATCGGAAAAATTATTCAGACCGAAGCCTTTGAATATTTTTTTTGTTTTCTCTCTCATCCACAAAAGTCAAAATCATATTTAAAGTATAAATCTACCTCAGATTTGTTTCCTTTTTTCACCCGATAATGATATGACTAATTTCGTAATTTAGGGTGGGTTATTTGGCTTGCTGTTTTTGGACCTCCGTAACGGGACGATGTTGCATAGCCCAAACAGTAAACGCGATCAATAGAATAGATCTTATTAACTTTTCATTAATATACATAAGTACATAACGTAAAGTGTTATTAAATATCATTGTAACGTACAATTTTATTATTTTTCTTTTTTTGTAAGTGTTTAAAGTTACATTAAGTTAAAACAAAAATATGTGTTTTATATACGTGTGTGTTATATGAGTGATCCATTATGGTATAAAAGTTTACATAAGAGAGGGTGAATAAATGTTTCCAACCATGAATATGATTCTTCTATATAGGGATCGAGATGCTATGGTAACACTTAACCATGATCAGTAATTCCATATGTGGCTTGGGATGCTAATGTCCTCAAATGGCTCTCTGATGAGCTTCCTTCTCTGTAACTCTGCGATTTCTCAACATTTTTGGTGAGCTGATTTAGCAAAGTTCGGAGAACCATTTGATCAGAGGAAGCATTATACAACGAGTTGGAGTTCTTGGAGACTAAACTAGATTGGTTGCCGTTGATTTGGTTATGTGATAAATTGGAGAAGCATGATACATGTTGTTTGATGATGTTGTCATAGTCAAAGTTGATGTAATTAGATTCCATCGATGTGGTAGTTGTTTCATCAGAACAGCTTGTGTTGTCGTCTCTATCAGCTATGTTGTTATTCTTGTGGAAAACTCTACACAATACACATTCTTCCTGTTAACATTTTCCAAGAAAGCAAAATTTTCAAAATTATGGTTAAGAGTATATATGTGTGCCAAATCAAAGATCATCTTAGATCAGCCACAAATAGTGAAACCCTCAGCAAAACCTTTTATTTCAGGTTGAGTGTGAAACAAAGATAAAGTCAAAAATGTGCCTTTTAAGTCATGGGATAATATGATTGCCACATCCCCCGCCATTTGCTTGATTCATGCTTAATTTGTTATTCTTCTTTATATCCAAAACACACATACTAATACTATATGATAAAAATTGAACCATTGAGTGAATCATGATCATATGAAGCTCAAAACATCTAAGAGAAACTACTCATATAATTTCTAAGCAAATATATCATGTAGTACTGCCTCGGTTTCAAAAGAAATGTTCTTTGATTTTGATTTTAAGCGACAACAAAAACAAATTCGTTCTCTTATATGTCTCTTATAATCAAATTGACTTTTCGAATTCCAACTATATATATATATTGTTAAGTAAGTAGGATAAAAGTATATATTATTAAAGTCATCAAAGTTACAGTAAATCCTAAAACGTAATTTATTGTAGAACAAGAAACAGAGTAAAAAGGAGAGAAGAATTACCTTGAGATAATTACGAGGGTGGTGAAGAAGTAAACCTTGGAGATGAAACTCGTGCATGACCCAATCGGTTTTACGACCTTTAGGGCACGACCACGGTAAAACACAAGTGTTTTTCTCATACCAACGAGCCTACCATTTCTTTGGATTACTCTATCTTTTCCGGTAGCTTTTCAATAACCGGTGATCGTAGCCCGGTTTGTTCTTTGCCTTGTTGCATATTTCCGATCTTTTTGACTGTAAAAATACTATTCTTTTCCTCCCACTCTCGCCGTTTCTGAAAATTACCCATTTTTAATGTACCATCGAACTTAAAACATTGATAAGAAGTCAGGCGTTGAATGTTTCCTCCGATATATATTAGGAAACTTATAATGATAAGATATAAAGGGAATTCTCTTTTCAGAATTGTCTTTATCTTGATGACATGTATTCAATAATATCCAAATGATTTTTATCCGCATCATATCTTAAAACGGCCACTAGGTTCCTATTTCCTAATTACCAAAGCATCCAATATGCATCCAACACGTCTGTAGGATTAGGATGATTGATTTTTTTTTTTTACTATGTAAACTGGTATAAATAAATTGCACTGTTAAATATTATTTTCACGAGAAATTCCTCTAGAAGAAATATAAATATACTAATTTGCAGGTGGCTCACAAGCAGAACGTTTTAATTGTTTCTCTCAACAAGTGGTGATCATCTTGTACTCGATAATAGTATATAGTATAAGAAACAATCGAATGGTATATACAAAAATAACGTTTTGGATCAGTTAAATGAATCGGTGATGAGTAAAAGAGATATATAGATCAGAAACCATAAAAAGATTACTTACGAGGAATATCCCAGGGGTCGCACTTGTTAAGATCGACTTCGATCAAGACAACAGGTTGATAGAGGTTGCGAGAGGTTCTTCTCAATAAGTAGTCGCAGAAGAGCTCGTCGTCTCTGGGATGGAATCTAAACCCAGGAGGTAGGTTGGCCTCAACCATACTTATACTGCCCTTACTTCTCTTCTTTATTCTCCATTTCTATTAATATCATGAAGATTTTAGGTAACTAGTGTTTATATATCATCATCCTAAGATTAAAATTTCATTACCCATCAAATTTTTAAAGTTATCCGAAAAACAAAAGTTATAGGCCATTTTTAATGCTCAATATATGTAATAAATCGATAAAAAATTTCTGCCTTTGTGAAAATAAAAGAGAAGCAGTATATATTTAACAGGTGATATTAATTCCACAATGTAGCTGTTTTTTTTCTTTTTTCTTTTAATTCATCAATGAAATCAAGCTGTTTTTGTTATGAGCATTGAATACGTAAATGATGTACGAAATAATTTGTGTCGCCACAAAAATAGTAAAAAAAAGTCTGAAGAAGCAAAAGTACAGAAGTAATAACGAGTCGGACCATTTATGGTTTTAACACTCAAGTCACGTTTCTTTATGGGCCATGACATTAAGTTTTATCTGGTGCTGTCATTTGAAGTTAAAGGTGAATCGGTAAATCTATGGAATGATCGTATCGTACCAGCTTAATTATGGGAGACAAACCAAATTAATATCTTTGACTTGCCTAAATTTCAATGCATACTTTTTAATGCTACTTTCGACGAAGACAAAAATAAAATAAAACTCCATTCTCGTTTTCGTGTAATATTGTACTTTGAGAGAAATTTGTCTATTCTACTGGATTGGATGTAACATAAATCTTTGGAGAATGTGGGTGTGAATGTGTGGTACAACAGTCCATTCAAAATGCTCTAATATTATATATACACGGAAAAGTATATTTGCTTGGGCATGTAATATAAATATTTCTCAGCAAAATATTAATCTCAAAAACCATATATATAGAACACATGCATGAGTCTTATAAGTTTGACAAAAACAGAGACTTTGCAAGTCCCAAACCATGCCAAAAGGGCACACTGCTAATTACATAAATACGAGAATGCATGTTAGAATACATGTTAACATGTACCGATCAAAAACATAAAATAGATTAGGTGTGTCAAAAATATCATAAAAATTCTTTGTACTTATGAATGATCGGACTTGATTTTTTGGCACGTGGTATTTGAGTCTGACCATATACAAATGGACTCCAGCAGGTAAGATATATTTCTCATTAGAGTAAAATTCTGAATGCAATCGAACCATTCCCTATATTTTCATCTTAAAAATAAAAGAGGTCAATATCTTTGCAAAATATCTAGAACATTCAATTTATATTGTTTCCCGTAACAGAGGATAAAATAAATATCTAACCAAATTGGTTATTACTTTCAGACCCGGCCCGACCCGCATCTTTACCCAAAAGCGAGTGAATCAAGTTAAAAAAGAACACGTGTCTGTGTTTGGATGTGAGAATCTAAGCTGAGCTGTATAAATTACTTGTCTCTGTCATTGCCACTTCTCTACAAACCCTAGAGACCGCCAAAAAAATTAAAGATAAAACCAACTCTTTCTCTTTCTCTCTCTCTCCCCGTCTCTCTCGATATCGACGGAATATGGCGTCGGGTTGCGTTAAAAATGTTGGTACCTCGGCGAGTCACTCTTGGACGAGCTCCAAAATGTCATTGACCCGTGAATCTCAACCGTCGGAAGATCTTGCCGACGACTTTGAGTTTCTTCTCGAAGATCCCGTCACAATGCTGTCCGCCGACGAGCTTTTCTCCGACGGAAAGCTAGTCCCGCTTAAGTTTTCCGGCGTGACTAATTCAGAGGAGAAGCCTATAACGTCGGCGGTTAACACAACGGTTAAACCATGTCGAAGAATAGAGATGGAGATCTCCGGCGTCGCCGATCCTTACCTCTTCTCTCCGAGAGCTCCTCGTTGCACCGTGAGATGGCGTGAGCTTTTAGGTCTTAAGAGACTCGCTAAAACGCAAGAAGAAGCGTCAGCTTCAGCTTCGTCGCGTTTGTCATCTTCTTCTCCAAACCCAAAAACGGCATCGTTTAGACATTTTCTCAACCGGGGTTCCAAATCCACCGCTCAACCACCGTCTCCTCCGCCGCCGGGAAAAGACTCAGACGTCTTGGAGTCTTCGTCAACGTCGATCTCCTCGTCGCGCCTCTCGCTCTCGTCGTCTTCGTCCTCCGGTCACGAGCTCGAGGACCTTCCAAGACTATCTCTAGATCTTGACAACAAACCCGGAACACCAAACCCTTTCGGTCGGCCACGTGCCAACCACCACCACCACCACTTACGCAACCTGAACCATCCGAGGAAGCCAAGACGTCACACGCCGGCTGATGAATCGACAGAGAGTAGTATCGAGTCAAGGGGAATGACGGTGACGGCTGATAGTCCAAGACTCAATGCATCAGGGAAGATCGTGTTTCATGGACTGGAGAGAAGCTCAAGCAGTCCCGGTAACTTCACCGGAGGACCAAGAATGAAGCTCCACCATGGAATGCCGAGATCTCACTCCGCTAATGTAAGAATCACTCCTGTCCTCAATGTTCCTGTCTCTTCTCTCCGTAGCGGACCCAAATCAGGTCTCTTCTTTGGTCAACTTTTCGCTTCTTCTTCATCGTCTTCGTCGTCCGGAAACAGAGCTCAGCTGCAGAGCAACAACACAAAGAACCGTACAAATCGAACCAGACTTGAACCGACCAGTGAACTCTAAAGAACCAAACCGGATTCTAAATTGTATTTTAGGGGGGTTAAAACATTCGCTTTTAGTTTATTATTGGGGCTGTTTCGTTAGATGAGATTAGAATTTGGGTTCAGAATGTAATTAAGGTTAAGTATTTTGAGAATTGTATTGTATTTTTTTTCCGTTGAGGTTATTGTACGTAGAGAGCGAGCGGGTTGTTCGATACAGCCCAAGTCAGTAGTCATTAATTACTGTAGCGAGAGGAAGTGCTTCCCATGTTCAGAGATGGATTCCGAAGATATTAACCACATGCTTAGATAATATAAACTAGTTTTTTTTGACTCATTGGCACAGTCAGTCTGTTGTGTACTTTATCATGAAATTTGTATTTACACTTTAGGGAGCGACAGCTTTTGTTCTCCTCTTTTTTATTAATCACTTTAATAATGATCCTGCATGTTATATTAGAGAGACAAATCCAAAACGCAAATCCTCTCCGTATCGGCTTTGGTTAGTTCATCGTTATTTTAAGTCTAGTCTCAACAACTTATTCTTGTGTAATAATATATTGTTTAAGGATTCAGAGACAGCTTTGTTACCATGTTTGCTCAGATCAAGTATTGCTACTTGTCGATCTCCGGCGTATACAATAGTAGTATTCATAAACCGTGTATAATTACTTGAAGCTTTGATTGAAAAATAGTATTAGGGATTTGTTTTTATAACTGAGGGACATTAAAAAAAGGAACCATAAAACTGATGGGTAAAATGGTGAAATGTGTCAAAGCGTGAAGAAAGATGTCAGTAAAAATGTTTCGAGTAAAAAAAATGAAGTTGGCTCCAATAATTTAGCTTTTCAAAAAAATTTACGTTCATTACAAAATAAATGAGAAAGAGCAGCTACATCACAAATAAAAGTTGCTGGTCGTTCTCGAACACTGTGTTTTCAATCCCATCCGTTGGATGCTTCCTTCCTTCGTTCGTCCTCACCTCAATTTAGTGACCACAATTATATATAGACAAGTACATAACATTGCACACACATCACACATACAAGAAGAAGAAGGCTACGAGCTTATGTTTAAGTGTTTATCATTTGTTTTTCATTCGTTGCACGTATAAAAGCGGATTAAGTTGCAGACATTTTGGCTAAGCTAATATTCATCGATAACATGTTATTTCCCAAATACTTGTTTATTTCAAGACTATGTAAACATTTTTCTTTATCAATATAAATATCAAACTAGTGTTCAAAAAATTGTTTGTTAATTAGACTACTTTACTCGTGGGACATATAATAATTCAGTTGTAGACCATTTTTCAATAGTTCTTAATTGGTTCATAGACAAAACTGATGGCATAACTATAGAATAGTTTCTATGAATAATGAAATTATTACAATTCGCAATAGGATTAGTCTGTATTTGTTTGATCCATTTGAAACTAATGTTTTGAAGTGATTCAAAAGATAATTACTCCTATAAATTTATGTCAAATGTTGGTATTAGTTGCTGACAAGTGACAAACTTACCATATATAACAAGTCTAGTGGTTATTAATTACCTAGCTAATATGTAGATATGTCTTTAGAAAGTTACTCTTGGTCTTGAACTAAGAAGTAGCATTTGGGTAAAATGAGAACCCTAAGAAGATATATAATATATAGTTTCCTTCATTTCGCAAAATCAAACATTCATTTAATTTATGAACGTAAAGGGGGGGGGGGGGTTACATTAAGAGTTAATCTGTATAAGCATGCAATTTGATGTTTTTGAAATATCATTTTCAATATATACGCCATAAAAACAAAACAGACTCTGAAAACAAAAATCTGCGATGGTCTTTTGACCGGTCTTGAATAGGGACCCATCGTCCTCTTGCCAATTATTTTTGGATTTTGGAGCGTAAAAAACAGTGTTTAACACTCACTGATTACTACATTTTTTTTTTCAATCACATATATAAATATTAAAGCTTTTCAGCCACACATTATACTACAATTTACTCACCAACTTTTTTTTTTTTTGTAACAGGCTTAATTTACTCACCAACTTCAAGGGATGTTTCCTCTCACGAGTCGCCTTCAATCCAAATGGTGTAAAATAATTGAAGTGGCTAAGATATTTTATACTTCAACTCGTTAAATAGTAACACTGGATTCTTCTATAGAAGTTTTAGTTTTACTTAAGACTCATGATATGGACAGTTTAATTTTACATAAAATCTATGAATTTAGAGAAGTTGGTAAACTCCTAAACATAAAAAACTGAACGAATGAATCGTTCTTTTATGTGTTTTTTTTCTTCTTCTTCTTTTCAATCTATAAATGATGTAAATACAACTTTAAAATAATTGTAACAGAAGTATTTGGAATATTTTGTCTACATATATATATATATATATATATATATATTTACCAAATAAACAAAAGTAAATAATAATAAAAAAACGGATAGAAAAGTTAAAGAGTAAGAAGAGAAGAGGTGGGGAAAATGAAGAAGAGAACGTGATGCTTCCCAGTCTTGCGCCCTCTGATAGATTCTCTATCTCTCTTATTTGATTCTCATGCATGATGCTTTTTAAATTTATATGTCTCTTTGCCTCTTTCTTTTCTCCATATATATATACTTTATTTGTTTCCACATCTAATATATATTGTTTATACCGTGATAACGAGCCACGACAAGTGGCCTAAACAGGAAAGGCCGACAAGAGAGGAGGAATTAGTTAGAAGAAATAGATAACCCGATTTTTTTTAGTACGTCAAATGGACATTAACATGTCCTAGTTTTCACTTTTCCTAGGACGACAAAGACTTATTAATACCACCCATAGACAAAAATCTAATAGTATTAAAAACCCTATAAAACCTTAGGTAAGCCACGTACGTCTTGTTGTTTCTAGCTACTAGACTTTCATATATTAACATGTCCCGTCGTGAAACGTAGCTAAACTCTCGGATTTGTTTGCATAGTTAGTTGCATGTGTGGTTAAGTGGTTTAATTCGTTCTCTATATGGAATATGTACATGTAAAAATCTTTATTATAAATTGATATACAATGCACGTCCTTATCCTAAACTGGCAACAATTGTTATAGTGTAGATAGTGTGAGTGTGATAAAAGATCAACAGCTAGGATGCTATATCTCTAATGCATAAAATGGTAATAATACCATTGCAATAAATCAGGTTGGTGGTAAGTCCCTAGCTCCCTCTCTCGTCTCTGACCAACCATATAATATAGTAAGTATATATATGGAACATCTCTCTCCTCTCTCTTGTATTGGCATTTAGGGAAGGGTGGTGAATGTGAATGAAACAAGGGGACATACATATTGGCTGCAGAAAGAAAAGAGAGGGCAGCTTGAGATGGGTTCTTAGCTGTTCTTTACAGTGAACCAAATGCGACATATGTATTTAATATCACTGTTTACAGTAGTATATATATGTATAATAAATTAAAGAGCTCAGAACGCAGCAAACATACAAAAATATCATAGATGTGATTGCAATGGCAATAATGATGAGGACATATTTGAGTTATATCACTGTTAAAGTCAAAATTGGAAGTATGTGTTGATGGGTAAGAAGAAGAAGAAAACAGCACTTTTGTTTTGTCTTGTCTTCTTCTCACAATCTATCTCGCTGTACTACATCTATGTACTTTCTTCTTCTTTGTTCTCTCTCTCTCATTTCTCTTACTAATTTAATCTAATCATCTCAAGTCGTTACATGGGCCTTAAGTTTTTAGGCCCATTTACAATATCACGGCCTTTTCAGTTTTTTTTTTTTGTGAGGTAAGCAAAACCCTAGCTATATATTTTAAAGACTCTTCTTCCTCCCTAAAGTGGAGTGGACGGCGAGCGAAACGACGATTGCAAGATGAGAGCCAAGGTATATGATCATTTCCTCTGTAATATGCCAATGATTGTTTCATAGATTCTTGGATTTGCAGATTGTTCTTATTTAAATGCTGCTCTAGAGATTTCATTGTCAATTTTTTTGGTCTCTTATGGAATTTGATACTTTTACATATATAGAGCAAATCTAGCTTTGCAACGCTATTAGATTGGTTACTGAGTATATGCTTGTTAGATACATAATTAGGGGTTTGTTGTAATTGGTAATCTCTAGCCTTTGCTTAGCTTATCGATTTCAATGCGATGTACTTAGATAAGAGATGATTTTTGTTTTTTTTCCATAAGATTATGTATTGTTCATTACAAGTTTGTAGAAGCTTTTTGATCATTAAAATTCTTAGTCTTGATATGGTTAATATATTGTATTAATGTTATTGTTGGGATTGAACATTTGTTTTGGACAGTGGAAGAAGAAGCGTATGAGGAGACTAAAGAGGAAGCGCCGAAAGATGAGACAGCGATCTAAGTAGTTCGAAGACTATCTCTGTTATGTAATATCTTTCTAGTTTCTCGACTTTAAAACAATATCAGTTTTGAACCTTTGGTGATTTTTGCATTTAAGCTTTTGTTGAACAATCCCAGTCCACACTGTATTCATGTTTTGGTTCATTCCTTTATATACTAGATGCAGTGATGGCTAAACTGAGATTTTGTTTCTGAGGAAACGGTTTACATATATGTTGTGTTTATTTGAGAATAGAGATTGAAGTTATCGATTGCTCTTATAAACATGCTCCAGTCCGTTTTATTAAGACAGCAACAGTTGTCTACACTCTACACATATAGAACAAAGCAAACCCACCAAACTGTAGCTTTAACGAGGAGTATCATCTGTACGTGTTCCGCGGAGATCTTTAACGTCACGTTGCATCTGTGTTTGACCGCCAGAGACTGACTGATCTTTTCCCTGTTCGATCCTTTGAGCACTCGAGAACAGCTCCACAGGCTCGGACTCTGCAATTTTGCCTCCCTCTAATGGTGTCCCGTGTTTGTAGCTTACACGGATTGGTTCATCTTCCGATAGCTTGGCTTGAGCCGTTGCATACTCTATGTCGTCCTTGTTCTTTGCCATTTTTAGGTTTTAAAGGGGATCACGAGTGGGCATGAGCCGTCGTATTTAAAGGGAGACAGGTTCGACGTGTCCCTTTCGGGACATTCGTGCTGGCTTCATATCTTCTTCTTCGTTTCTCTTTTCTTGACACGTTCTCTTTGAACTGCAATGCCAACACATGCATTTTCTTAGTATGTAAGTATGTACTTTGGTAGATAAGATGAAAATAAACGTACACACAAATTATAAAGATAATATTTGGGGAATGTACCTGATTGAAAAGTAATCTTGAAGCTTATGAGACTTAAAGTGGAGAAAAATTAGTTGCTAACCTTGATTATATAAATTAAATTGTTTTACGAATCGAGAGACGTAGCACCTACCTTGTCGCTCCTCTTTAAATATAAACCCTTTTCTCTCTTTCTGAGTATGTTTCAAGTATCTTCTTAAAACAGCAAAATAAAAGAGAGATAGAGAGGGTGAGACAAAGAGAGCTCCAATAGATTTGGATCAATGATGAAGAAGATGAGGTTAATGATGATGCTCAGGAGATGCAAGAGCGTGTCCACACAATTGGGTCGTTCATATTCTTACACAAGTCTCAGATCCCAATCGGCCAGGAGAGATAGCCAAGAGCATCTCCATGACGTCGACCAAGGCCCTACACCGTCTTTGTACCAGACAGTGTTGGTTGGACGTTCGAAGAAACCTTACTTGATCAGTAAGAAACACCTGAAGCATCCCCTGCTCAACGCTCTCGTAGAGAAGCAACAGAGATACGAAGGAGACGATAAAGAGGATGGAAGTTGTATAATCACGGTGAAATGTGAGGTCGTTTTGTTCGACCATCTTCTGTGGTTGCTCGAAAACGGAGACCAGAGTCACATATTGGAGTCTCTAGATGACTTTGCCCATCTCTATCTCTCCCCTTGATTAGGAGGTTTCTCTTGTTCTTGTTTTTTTTTTATAAATATAATTACAAGTTTCACTTGCTTATCGTTGTTCGAAATTTCGAATTATAACTTTAAATCTTTGTCTTTTCCCCTGAAATGTAAAGTTTACCGACAAGCGAAGGTTAATGACTTCTGTTGGTGAAGGACAAGACGTCCTACCAAAGTGTGTTTATTTAAATCCGATGACTATTAATACGTTTATGTATAAAGTTTTTATATATTAATTACTTCCATGTTCTAACATTGGAAAATTTCGTCAAAACAAACGTAATTCGATAACGAGCTTATCACTAAGCTTTTATCTTTATCATTTCTTCGCTCTATTATTTATACTCGAAAGATTTGTTTTCGTGCGTTACAGTACATGTTTTTACAGTGCAAATAAATTAAACCAATCAATAAGTAGTGTATTCAAGGCTACTGGTATAGTGGACTTAAGCCACCGTTATTGATGATATCTTAATTCATATCTTAGCTTAAGATTAGATGCTTTTATATATAATAGTAGTCTTATATATAAAAATATATCTTAACAAATTTTAAGTTAAGATATACCTTAAGAGCATATTTTAGTAAATCTTAAAATTAGTAAGATATGTTTTTATATATAATAGTAGTTTTATATATAAAAGTATATTTTAACAAATTTTAAGTTAAGATATAGCTTAAGAGCATATTTTAGTAAATTTTAAGCTAAATAGTTTAAGATACTATCAATAATGGTAGTGTTATCTAACGCTTAAAGCTCGGAGAGAAATCAACCAAACACAAAGTTATAATCAAAACCAGAAAATATATAAGGTTTTTGATAGGACAGCACTAACCCGTAATCCCAACTTAAAAAAAATAAAAATAAACACATGGTTAATGCTTTCGAGGTTGCGGCAGGTTCGAAAATTTTCTTATCGTCGTTGAGATTCTAATAATAATCTCAAAAGTCAAAACTTTTTGCTCTTTTTAGTTTCTCTAGTATAAATTAACTTAATAATTTTTTTGCCAACATTATTAATTCTGTTATCATATTTTTTCGTGGATAAATTTCTTATTATCGGATTTGTCTTCATACAGCGGTTAAATTCATATAGTTTAGCTTGATATAATTTTCATACCACATTATTATATGATTGAGATTATTCTTGTTATTTTCACTTACTTATTGGAATTGGAAATATGTCAACCCATTATAACAGTCATTTTGTGATTGGAATTATTCAAATTAGAAATTTTTACTTATACTTTCTAAAAGTTATTATTATTATTTATTATTTTCAGCTTTTTCTAAAAATTATTTATGATCGTAACTAGGTTCAAATTTTTTGAGAATGATGTTTGTAAGATTGGTCCTATCTATCCTATGGTAAGCACATCGTGTCATGGGCTTAATAATATATTAATTCTCGGGCCTCTAAGTGTCAACGAACAAATAAAGAAAATGCCTAATGGGCCGAAATATATCAGATAACAAACATGTAGTAGTCAACTTCTAATTATTTCCATAAGCCGAATGTTCTATATAGAAATTGAAAAAATCAAAGCTAACTTTGGATTGTTGAGAAAGGAATAAATGAGATATGAAATGGTCGAAAAGATAAGACTAGAAATGGGGGTGGACCACTAAAAGCATACTTACTAGAGTTCCCAAATTGGCATTGATCATTATTAATCATATACATATATAAAAAAAAAATGTCGCATTCTATGATGAGTACATAACACAGAGGGCCAAAAAAACACAAATGTCACAGTCTTACATAGGTCATATCATATCATATCCCACGGAATCAATCGATATAATTTATGAAAAAGAGGGTAGCAGCTACTTAAGCCTAGAGACAGACACACACATGTCTCTGCCTGCAATGCATACATATTTTTATAAAATGAATTATATGAAGCAAACAAGTTTGGTTGGGGAAGTGTGATGAATTGGACAAGTTTGTGTAAATTATAGAGCAAGAGAGGGACACTGCTAATAATAATACAACCTCACACACACCTATCTCTCTACCTTCCCTGTCAAACATTTTTATTATTAATATCTCTTCTTACCCTCTTGTATGAGGAGGTACCACCATTTATTTGTTTCTGTTCATTACAAATTCTGACAATTTTGTTTTTGTTTATACATATATATCACATATTCTCCTCAATTACTAAACACACATGATTTTTGAAAGATATTGACATAAACCCACAGAGAGATGTGGTGTATTGGAATTGGCCGAGTGGGAAGAACCATTCATTTGTTTGCCGACCCTTTGTTTTATTTGTTCTATGTATACATGTTCATGCATTCTCTTAAAAAAGTTGACAGTGAATTCACGTCTTCTCTTGGTCTCACATTTTCTATTTCAAAATTTTTAATATTATAATCCAATATCATCAATAGTTTTTAAATGAGAAAAAAAAAAAAAAAAAGAGAAAAGACCCTATCGAGATTTTTCACTTGTTTTCTGTTTATATGCGTAGTGGGTGGGAGGGTGAACACATTTTTTAGTTCCACCTTTACCCCTAATTTATAACTGTTACTTAGCAATTTATAATTAAATATTGTTTTTCTCAATTTAACACCACTATATATAGTTAATTAATATAAATATATATGACAACTTAGTCAATTTGTAGCTATCGACGACAGGGGATATTATATAACACGATTTATCATGTCAAACATGGAAAGAGAGGTTGATTAATTAGTTGTGGCATCTGATTCCAAAATGGAGCAACGTTAACGTGGGGATGGGTCAGAAGGATTAGGTGAAAGGATGAGTGAGTAAACCACACATAATAGAGAGCTGTGCTTTCTTTTTGTTTTGTTTTATACGTTATAAATTGTTACAATATACATATGCGTCCTCGATAATTACGGCCCCCGTCTCGATCCACAAATTGCCTTGGATCCACGTAACGTGTAAAGAGACTTGAAAATATTCATGAAGTTTTTGCTGCTGCTCCTCTCTCTCTACTCAATTATCAACTTTATCAGATAGATTAGGTTGGGTCCACATGGGTTGCATGAAATCAAGTGCAACGGTCAAAAAAATATCGTCGGACATGTTAATGTACAAATCTTTTACTAAATGGGTGGGTTTAGTGGGTAGCTAGAGAGGGTAAAAATAAAATCACAATCAAAATGAGAAGTGTTGTTGTAACAAGGAGTGGGAATTAAAGTCCTTGCTTTACTTAGTGTGTTTTCCTATAGAAGTCACAATATCTTGTACTTGTCAAGTTATATAGGTTTGTACTATTCTATACTCGTGATCCGTGAAATAAATCCATTCTTCATAATGCGTAACGAGTAAAACACTATTTGGTTTTTTTTTTTTCCCACTATTTGGTTTTATTAAAAGTATATGGAAGTATCATATGAAAAAAAAGTGGAGACACATTATTGAGGTTTATGGATTATAATGACACATTGCTCCACTTATTCCAATACATGTGATGCCATCTCGAGCCGTATCCAATTCTTTGCTCAACCAACTTTTCCGATGCATTGCTTTCACGTATTTTACGTATATCGATATCTATATACATGCCAATGATGCCATATTTCCATACATTTATATATATGCAAGAAATGTCCATATTCTCTAATTTAACACACCTCTATGTATGGCATATATGACGTCTATATCGAGAATATGTATGGTAGAGGAGGACCTTACAAACACTATATATTATAAATATAGCTAGGGATGATAAAAACGAGATTCCCTCGAGAGAAAAACAAAAGAATAATAATAAAGTGTTTGTTATGTATACAAAACTAGCTAGGAAAGGGTACGAATACGATTATGTGTTTGTGTGACATTGAGATTCTCTCATTATGGTGAGCGGTTGAGATGATGTGCAGAAAATAATAGATCAACGACTTTTTTGTTTAATTTCAACTAAAGAAAGAAAAAAGAAAAGAGAAGAAACTTACTTTTATCATCAAACTCAATGGAGGTCATGCCTTTGCCCTCAAAAGCAGGCACGCCAAAACCGTCACCTACATGGAGTATACATTTATATTCTTTACTTGTTGCAAAACCAAAATCAATTCTTTTTAGTACTATTTGATATTTTCTTTCATGATTTCCTCACTGCACACTTACCTGTTAAAGTTACAGAAATCAAACCATACGTTGAAATATGCAGGGGAGTACATATTGAAGAAAAAAAACAAAGTTATATTTATTCAAGAAAAGACCCTGGAATGGATGTTATTTTCTTAAGTTTCATTCCTTTCATGAATACCATTGTCACTCTAGGTTTTATACATTCAGGGTTAAACAGAAGAAAGAAACTTGAACCTTAATCTTTTCCTTTTGTTTTGTTTTGTGTCACCAACTTGATCCTTAATCTAAACTAAAAGAATGAGATGATGAGCATGTGGATTGCATTAGACCACTTTTGTTGCCCCAAAGTTCATAAAGTTGTTAAAAATTTAAGTAGTTTAGACGTGAGGACTCATTCAAATGATCTTTTGTTTTCCGTTGGTTATGCAAATTTTCATGGTTTAATTAATCCCACGGATATTAATAATAGTAATAGATTTTGGAATGAGCCTCGACTTTTGCTATTAGCTAGGCAACTTGTATATATCTTATTTTATATTTTGAGTTGTCAGCGAAAATAAAATAAAAATAAAAATAAAAATAATAGTTGTACGATGTCAGATCGAACGAAATAGTAATAAGAAAATGCCTGATACGACTAAAAAAATGTATTAAATAGTATAATGGTAAAGAGATAATGTCTGAAAAGCAGAAGATGATGCAAAAAGAAGACATGCCAATCTTAATGCGCTTGCTATGCTAACCTCGTGATTCTATGCCCCTCCCTCTCTTCGTGCTTTACTATTTCCAAGATAACTTAATTTATCTGCCGGTGGCTTTTTATTTATACGAAACATGATGATAGTGCCCCGACTAATTATCATTATTTAACTTAAAAGTGTAAATAATTCGACATTATATAGTTTTGATTAGTATTTGAATCGTCAAAGAAACAAGGTGTACACATGCATCATATATTAGCAAAGACAAAAAGCTGTAAGTCTCTCATACTAAAAAAATATGAAAAATCAAAGTTAAAGTATGTGTGTATTAGCTTTAATTTTTGTGTGTTAACATGATGCGTTGATCTTGTAACATAAATGATAAATCACAACTGAAAAACAATAATGGTGATAAAGAAAAGATATATATAGCTTCTACATAGGGTGCAAGCCAGCATGCAATATTATACCAAAGTCTACAGTATGTATTATTATTATGATATAAATTACAAGATATACTTAGACTGAGATAACCAAAACTTAACATAAAACTAGAAAATAACATCTTTATAACCTAATCCGATTCTTGAATGGAAAAACAAACCAAACGGAAACCCCATTCAATTCCCCACCTAGACGAAGTATTGGAAGGACAACGCAAACACTTCCTTCTGATTCAGAAACATTGACAAAAGAAGTTTAAACACAAAATAAATTAAAAACGTTAGCCATCAAAATATTGAATTAATGTGGGCAATTGAAGTCATAAGTAAAAGAAAGAGGAAAGGTTTGTGGGACACGTGGCAGGAGGTTAGTTTCCAAACAGACGTGGCAAAGAGAACCAATTGAAAGTAACAGACAAAACATCATTAATAATTATTAATAAATCAAAACTGAAAAAGGCAAAACAAAAATTAGAAAAAAAGGTAAAGAAGCAGCAGCGGTGGGTACACCGTACCTTTCTCAACGGCTGCATTTTTTATTATTTTATAATTCGAATTATAAAAATAGAAAGAGAGAGAGAGAGAGGAGGATAGTGCCAAGCTGGCAGTACACACGTGCCCATGCGACCCTCGTATCCCGGCAACTCAATCACACGTGGACCATATGTCCCACTTCTTTATGTTTTGTCTGTATTGCCACGTGGCGCTGTCAGTGGCCGTCTTATGTGGTGTGGCTCTTTTTTACGGATTCGCCACCCCTTCTCCCCTCCGTTGGAATCTAACGGGATTTTGTCCTCTCTCTCTCTTTCTCCAAAAACGGATAAGCCACTCCTCACATTATTTTTGTAATTAAAAATCGTTTCAGAAAATTTCTGAGCCTCTGAGTTTTCAAAATTCATGCATGCAAAGCAATTAATGGTACAGAGTAATTCCCCAAATTCGATGGTGTTAAAATTAGATAAACAATGACATGTCTTTGAATAAACAGTGGTTCTTGAACTATGATCATTTCGATCGGTTCCTTTTTTTATTTATTAAGAAAGGATACATACGGCAATTAAATAATTTAAGATAGTAACAAGACTGAGAGGACTCTTGATACGAGTATATCACATGAGCCACCTCTATTATTTATTTTTTTGGCGTTTATATAAACATATATGCACACATTCGTCGTAAATGCATTTCACTTTCATGTATGTATACAATGAATCTTACACGGTGTAAGTTACTTTACTTACACCGAACATATTTGTTACCAATAGATCCTACTATTATTAAATTGTCAGGTTTGACCAGTGATATTAAAGACGAGACGAGAGATGAGTTAGGCGAAAGAAGAGAGAAATCAGAACTTCTTTTAACAAAAGTAAAAATAAAAGAAACAACCAGAGAAAGTAAAAAAAAAAAAAAAGCAGATATCATGAATTTGACCGTAACTCTGAACCAAAGATTTTACAGCTGTCCTTGTCAAAGTTTGTAATTTATTATTGTTATTTTCTCATGAAGAAACGCTGAAAAAGGCAACTACTTTAATGGTCACTGGTCAGCCGGAGGATAACCGAAGAATCCTCATGCTTAATGTTTTCTTTATTTATACTATTAAACAAATGTGATGACAAAAAAAAAAAAAAAAAAAACAAATGCTACACTAGAAAACAACCAAATGCAAAATTTTAAAATATATTAAAAACATCACATCTTCCTTCTCTGTTCTCTATAAATTGGCAGACAAGAGTGTGTTGTGGTTCTGCTTTGATATTTGTTTCTCTTTTACTTCTTCCCCATCTCTCTCTCTGAAAACAGCTTCTACTTCCATCTTTCGTTGCATTCACGTTTCTTGAGGTTCTCTGAATCACCCCATCAAACATCTTTTGAACAAGTTTTCACTATAGTCAACAAACATCGATGGCCGTTGAAGCTCACCATCTAAACACTCTGTTTTCTTCCAACAGGTAAACAAATTCTTCTTCTTCTTCTCTTTTTCTCTTCCTCTGTTTCCTCTGTTTTTTTCAATATTGTAACGTTGCTCTTGATTTTTTATTTTTATTTTTAACAGAGAAATGATCCACCCTATTGAAGCAGACGGCTTAGTTTATAACACCCAGATGAGATACAGCACTGTTCCGACGTTTAGCCCGGCCGTGGAATGTCAAACTTCTCTGTTTAATCCTCCTTTATACAACATCGCACCTGTTGATGGTTTGGTTCATAAGTCCATGAAACCGACGATGCAATCCGTTGACAGTTCGGTCACATTCAACAGCGAGAATAATGCTAATAACGTCGATTTCCTCCGTCCTGTGTCGTCGAGAAAACGTTCCAGAGAAGAATCAGTTGTTTTGAATACTCCGGCTTATATGCAAAGCCACAAAAGCACCACCGATCCTCTCATGTTTCTTGGCCAAGACTTGTCTTCTAACGTCCAACAACATCACTTCGATATCGATCGTTTGATATCTACTCACGTAAGTTTTCATCTGATCTATTACAAGTATTATTTATTAATTTTATCCTGGTTCACATCGATTGAACGGTCTCTTCAATGATTTTATCTTCAGGTTGAGAGAATGAGAATTGAGATTGAAGAGAAGAGAAAAACGCAAGGGAGGAGGATAGTGGAAGCAGTTGAACAAGGGTTAATGAAGACACTGAGGGCCAAAGACGAAGAGATCAATCACATCGGGAAGCTAAACCTCTTTCTAGAAGAGAAGGTCAAGTCTTTGTGCGTTGAGAATCAGATATGGCGTGACGTGGCACAGTCTAATGAAGCCACCGTAAACGCACTCCGTTCAAACTTGCAACAAGTTCTCGCCGCCGTGGAGCGTAACAGGTGGGAGGAGCCACCGGCAGTGGCTGACGACGCACAGTCTTGTTGCGGGAGCAGTGACGAGAATGATAGCGAGGAAGAGAGGTGGAAGTTAGCGGGAGAGGCGCAGGATACGAAAAGGATGCGTAGGGAAGCGACGACTCTGTGTAGAAACTGCGGAAAAGGAGAAGCAAGTGTGTTACTGTTACCGTGTAGACACATGTGTCTATGCACTATGTGCGGTTCTTCAATCAACACTTGTCCAGTCTGTAAATCTCCTAAGAACGCTAGTCTTCATGTTAATCTTTCCTCTTAGCGGGATCTAACCCAATATCATCACCTAGTAAAGTTGTAAATGTCCTTAAAAACAAAAGTAAATAGTTGAAAAAAGAAAGAATCTATCCATCTTTTTGGTTGATAAAAGAACTGTTCATTTTTAAAATATATTTTTATCTATGGATAGTGATGATGATGATGGAACACGAATCTTTGACATATGTGTCAGATCTTTAAATTTCGTAAGGGGGTTCACGAGGAGGGACCTCTATCTGTTGCTATTAAAAAAAAAAAAAAAATCGTGGGTTAGGTTTACACCCACTTTCAATGTCATTTCCCATCTTTCGTATGAAATTTTCACCAAAAGAAGTGGAAAGTTTTTTGTAAGTGTGGTTCAACTACTAGTCTTTTAACATTAGTAGTACTAGTAGTAGGGGTATAACGTCACTTTTGTCCAATCGATTATTAATATTTGTGTGTATTTTTCTAGAAATCTGTTTTAATATTCGATACCAAAGATAAAATAAAAAGTGAAGTGGTCGAAATCGTGGGAGGGTTATGCGTGACAGACCATTAAACCAAAAGCAGAAAATGAAAACGAAAAAAGCCAAATCAACTTTTCCTCTAAACCCGAGACTCGAGAGAGAACTGATGCTAAAAGAAAATAAAAAAAGACGTAAAGGAGTGGGACGGTGCAAGTTAGCCAAGCCTGTAAGAAATTTTTTAAGCGCAAGATAGAATAGTGAACAAGGTTTGACTAGCCGTTAGAATTGTATTGGCGCGTGTATAACGGTGGTGCTGGAATGGAAAAAAAGCTGACGTGGAGAGCGCGCGCAAATTTCGCTGGACAGCAAGTGAAATTTCCAAAATTACCCTTGTTATGTTAGAGTAGTTAACTCGCAAGTCTATAAATAAAATCTCGTCTCGTGTGTGTTCTGTCTGTTCCACTTCTTCCGGCCTTTTTCTTAACTTCCCAAAATGGTTATTTTTTACCCGATTATTATCAAAAAGAAATTAGGGTTTATTTAAAAAATAATATAGTACCAAAAGTAATAGTTGATGTAAAAATAATATAAACGCATATATATTTTGATTTTGGACCCCAAATATTCGAAATAATCGAGAGATAAGGAACACAAGAGAATGTTGTGTAGTTTATTCATTTCGCAGGTCGGTGAAAAAACATTAAAAAAAAATGAGAAGATAAGGGTTTAAAAGATTTAGATGTGAACTTTAGTTTTGTTTAATGGGAACTTTAACCAACAAAAAAGAAAAGAAGGGTTCAGATGTGAATCGTGTTAAAAAATATACAAAGGGCCATGATGATGAGCTGATAGATTTGGCTTTAGGTGAGGTGAGGGGGAGAGGGAAGAAATGAGAGAATCGAGACGCGTGAAGACCACGTCCTCCGTCTTGTCCCTTTCATATCAAAGAGATGCGAATTTTTTTTTGGTTAGAACTAGTTGAGTGTATTTGACTGCCTCCATTCCACCCAACACAATCACCACCTTCTTTTCGTATTAAAACATCATAATAATACTATTACTAATATGAAAGAAGGCGGTATGGGAACGTATTTAGGTCTCCCCGAAAAAATCCATGGGTCAAAAGCCCAAGTTTTTGCCTTTGTTAGGGACAGGATGAATAGTCGAGTTAACTCTTGGTCCTCTAAATCCCTTTCTAAAGGAGGTAAGGAAATCCTAATCAAATCCCAAGCCCAAGCCCATCCGACATATGTCATGTCGTGTTTTTTGCTCCCCAAAGCGATATGTACCAAGTTAAATAGTGCAATGGCTCGCTTTTGGTGGAGTAATAGAGCAGATAGTACAGGAATCCATTGGATCTCCTGGGACCAAGTTTGTTCACATTTTTCAGATGGTGGTCTAGGATTCAGAGTTTTGGAAGATTTTAACCTAGCCTTACTTGCGAAACAATTATGGCGGTTGCTCCAATATCCAAACGCCCTACTTAGTAGGGTCTTGAAGGGTCGCTACTTTCGGTATTGTAGCCCGCTAGAAATTTCTGCCTCCAACCGACCGTCTTACGGATGGAGAAGTCTACTAGCGGCCCAGAGAATCCTCCAATCTGGCATTAGGAGAAATATCGGATCTGGACATCAGTCGTATATTTGGACAGACCCTTGGATCCCTGATTTTCCCCCGCGAACCCCTCTTGGTTTGACAGCGGAAAGGAACCCGTTGGTAAGGGTTAATTCTCTTATCGACCCAATTACTAAGCGATGGTGTGTTGAAAAGCTTCGCACTCTTTTCCCCCCGGAAGAAATTACCTTGATTATGGGGATAAAACCGAGTATTAATAGAACTCCAGATTCCTTTAGTTGGTCTCACACTAAATCTGGAACTTATACAGTGAAATCCGGTTATGAAGTTGCGAGATATTTGTCTCGCCCAGCTAGCGAACCCCCTTTTCAGGGACCTAGTGTTACAGCACTTAAGGCGCAAGCTTGGAAATTAAAAACCACTCGGAAGTTGAAACATCTGGTGTGGCAAAGTGTGACTGGTTGTATTGCTACCTGTCAAAGGTTACATTATCGCCATATTGGCAGAGATAAAGAATGTCCTCGCTGTGGAGCTGAGGAAGAATCGATAAACCACCTATTTTTTGAATGCCCCCCGGCTCGACAGGTGTGGGCCCTCTCCTCTATCCCTTCCGCACCCCTGTGTTTCCCCCTTTCTTCTCTTTATAGCAATCTAGATTTTTTATTTTGGAGAGGAAAGGAAGCGGGTGTCTCGGAAGAAAGCCTGAGAGTATTCCCATGGTATATGTGGTATATTTGGAAAGCGCGGAATAAAATGATTTTTGAGAATATTATGGAGACGCCCCAAGATAC